CCCAGCACCAGAGGATTGAACCCAGCCCATCAGCCGCATCAAGTCCGACTAGGCAGGGGCTTTCAAAAGCAGTCCAAAGCCCCATGGAGGTGCAAGGGTTGTCCAATCTGCCCCAAGTATACGGGAGTAGTTTGCACTGTGCGGTTTTGCTGAAGGATCACCGAAAAGATATTCATGCAACATGCTGGCTGACATGCACGCAGCTACGTTCACACGATACAGGTGCTTACCCAGCAGATGTGCGGAAGACATGTAGCACGATCAAGATCTTCAGCCACCGCTTCAAGACCGATACGAAGCGCGTCGCAAGGACGCACTGTATACAGCGAGTCAATAATGACGCGAAGTCACCACCCCGACTTGGCAAAGATGCAAGGAGGGAAGCAGTTGTTGTAACGTACTAATTACTTACTACCAGAAGAAAGATGGTCACCTTGCCCAGCATCGCCAACCAAAAGTGTTGGGCTCGTAAGGATGTCCCGGAGGAGACGATGTGGCCCCCAGCAAGGATGCGACAAATTGTCTGAGCAGTATCCACAAAGGTACAGATCAAAGGCTGCTGAAGAAAATTGACCGAAAACACAGCTTTCTCACACACATGTCGCATGTTCAAGCATGCAGATCGTTGAGGTATCCGTCATTGCAAGACGGGTGTTTGTGAAAAAAACAGCTATTTGTCTGTTGGGCAGCGGCTAATTTCGAAGGAGAGTTCGGACCGGTACCAGGAAGCACATGAAGGTCTGTGTTGCTTGGTAAGTACACGAAGCTGTCATCTAAAAGTGGCTGAGTGGGCCCCTACATAGCTGTGTCGGGGGGTCAGACGAGATGAAGATGAGCAGTTGAATTGCAAGAGGCCTTGGAGTAAATCACCGGCTCTGACCCGCAGGGCTTGTCCAACTTGCAGGGGCCTGGGTTGGTACGGCTTGGGCTTTGGTCAATCATTCTGTGGAGTAGAATCGTTTGTTGGCCTCGGCCAAGGTCACAGGAGATGGCAGGCACAGCCCTCCGATCTGACACGTTCCTCGAGGCCCTTGCGGTCACGGCTCAGGCGCACAGATATTTTCCGTTCAGACACGTGCAAAATCCCCTTGAGCCTCATGAAGCCAGGACAAGATACTGAGCTCTTCGGCACAAGATCTGCTGATTCCTCAGGAGCTCACCAACAGCTGCTAACTGCAGGTGCTTGTGGCCGCCCCCACTTTTCAGGTCTAACAGAGCTTGGACAACCGCCACCTCGAGCTATGGCGACCTGCCGCTGCTTCACGTGATCAAGATGCAGAGCCTGAGCAGGAGGCCGCAAGCTGAACCTTTGGTTGCTTTCTGCTTCTTTGGTAAACGAGGCAAGAGCCAGCACCGCAGAATGCCTCCAACTTGCTGTGGGCTTTTGCCACGCTGGGTACCACGAATGAGGAGTGGGGTTTGCGTTGGTCGCCCTAGTCCTACACAGCTTTAGCCTGCAGATTATCTGCAGATCCGCAGTGTACGTTTCATCCAGTAGCCCCAGGACCTATTCGCTGTGTCCGTCGACAGAGCCAGTGTTCTCCTTGGCGAAGGGGTGTTCTGCCCTGGCTTCCATGCTTGTGGAGTCGAGAGATCTCGCAGCGAGGTCTTTCAGGATTTGAGGCCCAGCACATCACCAACATCGCCCGAGATCACGTTCTGACCTCAACCCGCTCCTACCTGCCGAGTACTCGTATGTATCGGAGATCCTGCGGTGCAGCCCAAGCATAGGCAGCCCTGCGAGCGCGAGGCTGGAAAAGGTAAAGGCTCCGCTTTGCCTGCGAAGTTTGTAACGTTTGTTAGCCAGGCCTCCCGGCCATTGCGCGCATCGCCACGGAGGCCGTGGCCTTCGCATGCAGCAGGGAGCAACCCATGCGCACCCACCACTCCTACGATGCCAGGCCTCCCGACGAGTTCAGCACTTCGGGCACGTGGATTGTGCTATCTCAGCCTGGTCGTTGGCTGCACTTATGGTCTGCCCTGCACCCTGTTGAGATTTGGGGCTTAGTAGGCCCCAGAGACCAGCAATTCGGCTCTCTGCATTTCATGCTCTGCTTCCAACTTGCTGTCCAGCCTGGTGCTCGCATGCATGCGCACCCTGCAGAGTTGGTCCCAGACAATGGGCAAGTAGAACTGCAGTTCGGCACCAGCTCTTTAAGTTATGGGTCTTGCAGGGAGTGAGGCGTTTGCTGCCAGGTGCGGAATGGTCCACTTCTGCATGCGGCATCTGTACGTTGTGTCGCGCAGTCAGTCTGATACCACTACATGTGAAGGCTGTGACACGAAGCCGAGGCTGGACAGCTGCAGCAGCTTGATGCACAGAATCTGTCAGGGCCAGAGAGTATCTAAATTCGTTTGCAGGAACGGATTCATGAAAAGTGGTGTCCCAGTGTTCAGAGATCTCTGAGCATGATACGAACCGAGGTGCAACTTTGCGTAAGGCCCAGCCGTGTCAAGTTACGCCAGGGCCGAAGCTGACGTTTGCAAGGGCCTAATATAGGAGCCTTAATCATTACCTATGCTATTGTGGGGATTCCTTTCTATAATTATAGTATAATGGACCCCAAAGCCCTATTGGATGAAAAGAGTCAATCCAGGCGGGCGTTGCCTTGCTACACGCAGCTGCGGAAGAAGCAGTGCCGAAGGTGTCTGTGAGACCGAAGCACATCTGCTTTCGGCTTTACGTTCTCCGAGTTGATCGCACCGTGGGACTTCTGTCCGAAGAGGTCATGCAGCCTTCTCCCCAAGAGCCAGCCAACACGAGGCCCTGTGAGCGTGGGTTCCGTGTTCTACTGTCATCACATTCTCGCGTTGCCAGGTGGTGTCTCGTGGACCCGAGCTCGATGACTCAGCACCTCGGCATACCTCGGCACATGGAATGCTGCCAAGGTCTGCTGGAGATGTGAAGCACAAAGATGCTGAATGCTGTCAGTCTGAGGCCGCTATCGGATGCGCCATCCGATGCAGCACTACGTGGAGCGAGTCATCTGCAGGAGCCATGTTTTGTCGTAGAGACAGCGAAGTCACTCGACTCACTTGACAGTGAATTTCGCAGGGGCAGGCGCTCTGCTCCTTGGCAGATGCAAGTCTGTCCTGTCGCTTGGCAGCCTCAGCTGGGCATCCTTGCAAGTCAGCCGCTTCTTCTCGCTGCCACAGGTCAGGGCCAGCTGCTGCTGCAGCTTCACGCATTCGTGGACAAATTCTTCAAGGCGTCTTAGCTAGACAAAGCCCGCGTGAGATTCCGACCCATCGCAGCAAACACGAGTCAGTAACGAGGGTTGTTCGTTTGCAACTTCGAATTCGTTCTTAGCATTGTTCCGCGATTCGATTCACCACGATTGAAAACAGTGCAGCTATACGACTCAGCAGGAACAAGGATGATCCTACAAACCCCACAAATACGCGTGGCACTGTCATAGGAGTGCAGTCGCAAGTGCCTCCGCGGGAGCAGTAGAGGAATCCAGATACCCTGAACATCATACATATATACACTGTACATTACTACGTATACATTGGTTTCCATGCATGCGCATGTGTGCGTGTGCATGTGTGTATGTGTGCATGTGTGTGTTTGTGCGCTGCACGCCGTGCTCAGTCGGTTTCCGGTTCTTTCAATTTTGCAGGCAGGGGGCCAGTGCATGGTGTTGTGACGGCAACATGGCAACAGTATGGCATGAGCTTCGGGACGCCAAACCGTGTTCTGCAGACAGAAGGTTCCTCGGGGCTGTTACGCTTTGCTGAAATGTATTTTCAGCTTCCGCACATGCACGGTTGCCAGCATCTGAACCAGCAGTTGCCGAATTGCATTTTGTCTCTGTCGGTCTGTGTCTGTCGCCAGCCGCAGTCACATCTGAACCTTAAATCCTGAACTCTGAAGCCTAATACGAAACCCCAAGAACCCCAAAACCCCAAACCCCAAACCCAAGAACCCCAAACCCCAAACCCCCAAACCCCAAAACCCCAAACCCCAAAACCCCCCAAACCCCAAAACCCCCCCAAAACCCCAAACCCTAAACCCTAAACCGCTTTCCGCCTCTCCGCTGTGAGGCCTGGTCTCCAAATGGGACCTGGGACACGGGGCATGCAACTCGCGCCGCGCCGGGCCGAGGGGCCCCCCGGGGTTCCCAGAGACTCCAATATCCCTTAATTAAGGAATAAGGAATATTCCTTAAATCATAGTAGGATCCTACTATAATTTAAGGTATATTCCTTAATTAAGGGATATTGGATAGGAGTCTCTGGGGACTTGGGACTTTCGGACCTGGGATCTGGGGCATCGAATTTTTCATGTGGTTGTCAAAATGATGGGGTCCCTTTGTTGGTACCCTAAATAGTAGGTGCCGGACTCCAAAAGGGACTCTAATATCGACAACCATCCAGGTGTCGATCTTTGAAATCGACAGCTTGGGCCTGCATGGAAGCAGGAGCCGTGCCAGATGCAGCAAAGGCTGAAAGGAGGAGCCATTGGCTGTTTCACAAGCCTGCAGGAGACTCTGCGACAAGATTGGAATTCCAGAGGCGACATGAGATCTGCGAAACGCAACGCTGTGTTGAGAGGCCGAGTGATGCCCCTTCAGTCTGCCTCAAGGCAAGCCCTGAGTTCGTTCTTCGGGCAAAGTCCAAGCTCGGCAGGGAGCTTGCTGCACTATCGGACCTGCGCTTGCATACTCTTGTATTAGACCAGGTGAAAGATTGGGAGGGTGCCAGACAGCTCCGTTGGGCACCCCAGAGTGCCCCTTGATGCAGCAGTACAGCCCCCCCCCACCCCCATAAACGCTAGCTGCTCCAACCATGGTCGGACATTTCCTTTCATGGGACCGTAGCCACAAGTTGGAGTGTAGAGTGTTGCATGTTTACTGAGAACATGACACAGACACTTTTTCAAAGTCAGAAGGGTCGTCAGACGTAGTGCAGACAGGCAGAGAGTCTCACCTTCGAGGTCACTCACAAGCCTCCAAACAAGCTTTCACATTAGATCTCCATCATGGTTTGTGTTGGCCATGGCGCTGAAAGTGTTCGATGTGGATCCGACCCTGAACTCTGTCGGAGATCTCATCTGGGAGAGAGTGAAAAGCTTCAGGCGACCTGCTTGAAGCCCCGGAATCCTTCGTAAACGCCATCAACTTCAGAGTTTTCATAGACGTTTGCAGGGTTTTGACAGGGCTGTCGTTGGGTTTTAGAGGGTTGCGCTGGGAATGCTTGCATCACCCACAGAGAAATTCACCAGGTGGTGGAAAGATGAGTTGGAGAAGCTGGAAGGGGGAATTGCGAAATTCGCCCAGGGCTATCACACGTTTGGATTCACTCGGCAGGCCGACAATCCTTGAGACATTTCAGGTTTTGCTGATGACAGTATTCAATGCTTGCCAGCAGGAAACCAGCATCACTTACCGTGAATGGCTGCCGAACGCCAAGCAAGTGTTCCTCATCGGCGAGTTCAACAAGTGGGAAAACACTGTGCCTTTAAAGTCCGAGGCTTGCGCAGAGCAAAGGGGCCAGGTTCCTGTATATTCAGAAAGGTTTTATTGCATCCATCTAGGACGAACGTCGGTAGGGTTTCTCTTTGAAAGCAACGTACTGGCAGTAGGGAGCGTTTGCAGTCTAGCTGACCATCACCTCGTTCTCTGTATTCTGAAAGTTTTGCTGCCCTGTCAGGGCTTCGGGCACTGGTCTGTGCAGCTGAAAGATCTACCTGGGGGCAAGCCAGCAATCCCGCACAAGAGCCAGGTGAAAGTTCGACCCTTGTCGGCACGTTGCGACATGCATGATTGCAGACGCTCGTTGGTCGCAGAATGCTTGAGAAGCCATCGAATCTAGCATCGTGTCATCAGAATCAGGAGTGGAAACCAACGACCGTCAGTGGATCGAAAGGGTGCCTGCTTGGACTCGGCTGGCGTGGCAGGATCCCAACACCAATCTTTTCAATGGTGTCTTCTGGTCCCCGCCCAAAGAGGAGCAGTTCGTGTTCAAGCACGACAGGCCGGGCGTGGTAAAACTACCCAGAAAACGGACAGCAAAGTCAAGGGATCTGAACCACCTTTTGGCTCCCCTGTGAGGCCGCTCAAGCCTGCGTCTCCAAAGATATATGAGGCGCATGTTGGCATGAGTTCAAAGGAGCCCAAAGTGGCCACCTATGTAGAATTTGCAGAGAGCGTGCTTCCCCGAATCAAACGCCTGGGCTACAACACAGTGCAGCTGATGGCAGTGGCGGAGCACGCCTTCTATGGATCCTTCGGCTACCATGTCACTTCCTACTTTGCACCGTCAAGCCGATGTGGAACGCCAGAAGAACTAAAGAAACTTGTGGACCGTGCGCACGCACTAGGGCTCACAATCATCATGGACCTGGTCCATGCGCATTGCTCGTCAAATTCGTTGGATGGCATTGCGATGATGGACGGCACCGATCACTGTTACACCCACGGTGGTCTCAAAGGCCATCATGCCCAATGGGACTCCAAATTGTTTCACTACACAAAACATGAAGTGCTTCGTTTCCTGCTCTCCAACATACGGTATTGGCTGGAGGAATTCCGCTTCGATGGCTTCCGGTTTGACGGGGTCACATCCATGCTCTATCACTCGCACGGAATAGGCAAGGGCTATTGTGGAAGCTATCATGACTATTTCGGGGGTGATGCAGATTTTGAGGGGCAAGTCTATTTGATGCTGGCAAACGACTTGATTCACTCGTTGGTGCCATCTGCAATCTCTGTGGCAGAAGAAGTTAGCGGCATGCCGACCTTATGCCTTCCTATCGAAGATGGCGGCTTTGGCTTTGACTACCGCCTGGCGATGGCAATCCCTGACATGTTCATCAAACTCCTAAAGGAAGTCCCCGATGACTGTTGGGACGTGGGTCACATCTGCCACACGCTCACCAACAGGCGGTGGAAGGAGAAGTGTATAGGATACTTGGAGTCTCATGACCAGTCCATCGTCGGCGACAAGACCATTGCTTTCTGGCTTATGGACCAAGAGATGTACTACGGGATGAGCATGGCCGAGTGCCCGGAGCCTTCGATCGTTGTTGACCGTGGTTTGGCGCTGCACAAGGTTCTCCGGCTGCTGGTGCTCGGCTTGGGGGGCGCAGGCTACCTGAACTTCATGGGCAACGAGTTTGGCCACCCCGAATGGGTGGATTTCCCACAGGCAAGCAACGACTGGAGCCACCACCTCTGCAGGCGGCGCTGGGACTTGCCAGATGACCAGGCCTTGCGCTACAAGTACTTTCAGAACTTTGACGAACTGATGCAGGCACTTGAAAACCGATTCAAGTGGCTCAGTTCGGAGCACGAGTTCGTTACAGTATGCAATGCGATGGACAAAGTCCTGGTCTTCGAACGCGGCAGTCTCACCTTCGTTGTAAACCTTGATCCGGGCCGCAGCTTCCAAGGCTACAAGGCCTTTGCCTTAAGCCAAACCATCGCTCGGCTAGACCTAGCTGCTTCTAGCTGCTTCCAGCTGCTTCCAGCTCTGTTCGCTTCTCTCCCTGAAGGTGGGCATCGGCAAGGACGAGGCCATGCGCATCGTCCTGGACACCGACGAGGAGCGCTTCGGTGGCCATTGTCGACTCGAGGAGGGTCATGGCAAGCCCTTACCTTCGGGCGGACCCACGCACAACAGGCCCTGGGCGCCTCGGGGAAATCCCCAGAGCCAGCTACCATTGAGTCATTACGGTAGAAACGCGGCAGTGTAGTCCCTTCTGTCCAAGCTTCAGTGCAGGCCGGCATCCTGCCTTTTGTACATCCCGGCACGCACTGCGCAAGTACTGGCGCCGGCATCCATGCTGGAGGGAGGCATTCGCGTGTGGCTTGATGCTCGTTGGTTGAAGGAGCCGGTGCGAGCCCCTAAACGCCAAACCATTCTAAACCCCAACCCCCGACCGCCAAACCGTTGTGAGCACATTGGCAGTTACTTTCGATTCAGCCTTCTGCACAGGAGCAGGACATCGACAATCCCACTGATGTGAACTTGGCACTGGAGATCCGAGATGGTGGGAAGAAGTATCTTCGGCAATTCCGCTTCAATGCCGAGAGCTGTGTCACGCTGCATATCTATTTTGATGCGATTTTTGCACTCATCGCTCCAAATGGGAGTACACTTACCAGTCCAGTCTGGCCGGATGAGATGTTCCACATCTACTTTCCCGGAGACTACACGGTCTGTAGCGGCGGAGTGCTGGAAGCAGACGTCCCGAAAATGACTTGGAAGCCGGCACCCATAAGCCGACAACCCTCGGTGGTCGGGACGGCAGCTCCCTCTCGAGACGAGTTCTTCGATCCTTCCATCGATGCCGGCTTGGTCTATCCTGAAGCCATGGTGCTCGGACCAAACTCGATGATGGACCTTTTGGACTCCCCGGCCCCAACGACTCCTTCCAGGGCCTCCGCCTCCGCCTCGGCCTCGCCCTCGAGGACTCCCTCGGCCTCTGCGACCCCGAAGAAAGGTCTCAGCAGATCGAGCAGCTTCTCCGCAAGGCGGCGGAAAAAATCCCCGACCACCGCAAAAGCCACCAGCGATGTGCCTCGATTGCAGTCGCCAAAAATTTCTTGCAGCCGGTGGTAGCCAGGGCAGCCAAGCATCGATTCCTTATTGCAAATAGCAGTAGCATGTTTGCATATTTCAGGAGGTGGACGATTCGAGCAAGGAGAAGGTTACCCAGCGGGCGCCGCTCTCCCCCGAAGAGCGCAAGGCCCTGTGTCAGGGCCGGGCCAAAAGTTACAAAGAAGCCTTCACCAAGCTGGGCTCTTTGGCTTTCACAATATGTTAGTCATAGGTATAGTAGTACAACCAATCAAAGCATTTGCAGGGACAACACAATGGGTAGTCTATTGTTGTATGTTATATACAGTTACTGTTTGGAACATCGCGCCGAGGAAGCCTTGAATCCTTGGCGACGGCATTCAAGGACTTTGGATTCAGGGTTCTTGTTAAGCAACGTAAGTTACCATAGTCGGGATCCATAATGAATAAGTGGTTTCCCCTTATTGTGGTCATTTAACTCAGCCCCCTTACAAGAACCCAGAGGACTTTGGCTTGCATCACGGCGCCGGTGGACGGTGGAAGTACAGAGAATGGGTTCCAAATGCGAAAGCCACGTATCTCTTCGGCGACTTCAACGGATGGAACAAGACAGCCACGCCACTCATGAAGTCAAAAGATCATCCCGAGATTTGGTGTTGCCAGATAAGCATACCCTTGAATTCAGCGCTCACAAGGGGCAGCCAGTACAGACTCCATGTTGTGCCAAACGAGGGAGAGCCCTGGGATATGGTCCCTACCTGGGCAACTCGCTGTGCTATCAATGCCAAAACTAAAGATCACAACGCGGTTGTCTGGCCACCCCGCGCAAGCAGAGGTCCATCCAAGAAGGATCTTCACCCAAGCTTACAGCTGAAGGGGAAGAAGCTTCATCTCTACGAGCTTGACATTACCCTTGCCATACAAAAGGGACAGAAGCCCAGCTTGAAATTCGCGCGCTCTCTCTTGCCAAGGGCTGCACATTCTGGCTACCATGGAGTATTGCTGCAAGGGCTCTACAACGGAAAAGGCAGGTTTGCCACAGGCAGCCTAATGGCAGTCTCCCCGGTGCTGGGAGATTCATCAGACTTTTCAGCCTTTCTTCAGAAAGCCCATGATCTGGGATTGGCTGTCATCCTGGAGCTTCCATCTGGTGCCGATCCAGCCGAATCCAGCCTGCCAGCCTGGTATTTCCGGGCTGAAGAGACGAAGACGCTTGTGAAGAGCTTCGATTTTGCTCGGAAAGAGGTCGCCCAACACATCCTTTGCTCCATCAAGCGCCTTGGCAAACCTCCAGGTGTCAACGGTGCTGGGGTAGTGATCGACAGCAGAAGGTTGCTGAAGCGGCGGTTCTCTTTGCTGTCCAAATGACTGTCCTGACAACATTTGCGCGAGTTTGCTGTGATCCAGTGGTCCACAGTAAGCGCATCTTTTTCAACACAGGAGAGGTGTAGGACTGATTCTGTTATCAGTTACCGTGAACGCCGGGCTGAGGCATTGGGTGGAGGTTGGCGTGGACGGATTCCGAATGGCTCTTGAGCTGAACTTCCAAGCCTCCCTAAGGATTTTACAAGGTTGTGATGGCAAACTCGTTGCTAGGTGAAAGGTCTTGCAACTCGACTAAGGATGGCATGCCCGGTCCTGTGCAGAGCGGGGCGGAAGACACGGAAACAGCCGTGGCCCATTTCGCCATGATCGTGGCCGCAGTTGTGAGATCGGCCGCACAGGAAGCCGGCAGGGATGTTATCCTTGTTGGGAGTGGTGATATCGATGCGACGTGCGCACCTCGTCTAAGTTCTAGCTTTCACCTTCACCAGCTAAATTGTTCTGGATCAGATGAAGGGCGCCAAGATATTCAAGTTCGGCAAGGCCTTACATTACCAGGGATCCTGAAGAACAGGAGCCACCACATTAAAGCAACCCTGTGATGTCCAAGGATTCTCTGGAGTCCGGCGGTTTCGGCTGCGACTTCTGCCAGGCAGACGGCGCTGATCTTAGCCGGCTTCTGCCGGGTTCGCGCCGCTTGGTGATCGAGCCCGGGCCTCCTTCCAAGGCCCGGCCATGCCCTTAGGGCACCAGAGCCTTAACTTCTGCTTGGGTTTTTGGGTTTGGGGGGACTGTGGTGCATTTTGCCGCACCCTAAGCCGCCAAGTCTTTCAAAACTCGGGCTAAGGGTTTAGAGTGGCTTTTTGGCAGTTATGGGGAGACCGTACCTCATCTGATCGGAGCCTGACTCTGCGAGGCCAGGCCCTTGGAAAAGCTGGAGCGCTCTCTGATGGAGCCGCTGAACTCTCGCACGGAGTGCCGAAGCCTGGTGATGTCCTGCATGGAGAGCACGGAGGACTTGTGCACATATACATGGGTGGTTGTCAAAATTCGGGACCATTTTTGGTCCCTATTATATTACGGCACCGAATATTTAGGGAACCCCAAAAAGAACCCTAACTTTGACAATCATCCACATGAGGGTCATGTGAGTCATGTGGCATACTGTAGCTTCGAATTCATCTTCGACGGTTGCAGTCCTGTGAGGACTTCATTGTCAGCCAGGGGCCGTCTCCTGGAAAAAACAGAACAGTACGAACCTGGTGTCAACCATCCGAAGCCATCAAGCCGTCTGACTGAGGCTTTCTGTCTGCATGTTGGCATGGGAGACAGTCCACACGGTATCTGGCGGCGTCGTGGCCCCGTACGTCACCTACCTCAGCGAGGCATTGGTTCGCCGTGGCCACGAGGTGCACGTCTTCACGCGTGCCAGCCATGGCATCAAGATAAATGTGGAGACGGTAAAGGGCGTCGTTTACCACGAGGCGCGATCGTCGAACGGCCTCTTGGGAGGGCTTTGGGGTTGTTCAAGGCGAAGTGCATCCCGGAGTGCTAGGTGCCATACCAGCTAAGCATGGACTTCGTGGAGGAAACAGGGCATTTCTGCAAAGCCTTGGCAGCCGCTGTGACCGGCCATGAAGCTGCCTACGGACCCTTTGATGTGGTTCACGGCCACGAGTGGTTCCTCGACGGAAAGAATGATCATTCCTGCTAGACGACGGGCCTGGCATGTACCTTGGAGGTTCTGTAACAGCCCCTGAAGATTTCTGTGAGCAAGGTGGTTTATTGTGTAAGTTTGATATCGCCACAGGGCCGTGCATCTGGTTGCGTTCGCCGGCCTGTCTTGTGCTGAAATGCAGAGACCACAGCACCAAGTAGTTTTGCAAGGATATGCAAGGGGGCCGATGAGCAGGCTTGGACTTTAGGAAGCTAGATTCAGCAAGATCGGCTGCAGGCAAAGCAGCTAAGCTCGGCATGACTTAAATTATTGGAACTCTCGAGCGTCTCGATCACTACCGGGAGTCACCATCTGCTCTAAAGCCTTAAAGCATCTGACTGGGTCTAGACCGCAACCCAGGTTGGTCGCACGTACTCGAGCGGAGCTACGCAAGGAAGTTCGCTCTGTTCTCACGATCCACTCCACGGAGCAGGGCCGCTCCAGCGGCGCGGACTACGGTGCGCCGAAGCGACCAAAAGAGCCTCGTTCTTCACTCTTTGGTGAAAATGCTGCCCATGTCGCAGGTGGCCAAAGCGACCAAGTCATCCATCTCGAGGGCGAAGCTTTCAACATGTTCGACAAGCTTTTTGCAGCATCGCAGACGGTTCGCCGGCGGCTTAAACAAGCTGTGATCAGTCGGGGAAGTTGCATGCAGTTGGTCGCAGCACAGCTAGCAGACCGACTAGCTGCGCTGGACTTCCTTGATCTCAACTTTCCCGCCAATCGCTTCTTCCGGAGGTTCGGAAGGCTTTTGGCGCCTCATGGCATGCCCTGAAGCATCTGCTGTTTCGGAAGCATCAACCCCACTACACGGCATACTTTAAACCGCCGCGAGGCCCGCAACCACCTCAGCCATGACCTCCAGAGTGGAGAAGATTTGAAGGACAACAGATGAATATCTTGCCAACGAGCCTCCGAAAAGTGGCGCCTTCTTGCATTCTACACGTTTTTGCACTCATGCAGATTTTTTATGAGGGTCCGATTCACGGATTCTGTGCATCACAAAGAATTTTTTCGTCCGGCCTCGAAATAGTCCGAGAGACAGCTCAACACTTGCCAGACTGGCATCTAGACAGGTCACCATCAAGTTTTTGCAGCCAACATGGACCGACTGATAAGCGGAAGCCAGCTCCGATGGTCTGAGAACCACTTGATTTGGCAAGATGGACCGTTTCCCTGAACTAATAAGTTCGTGACAAATGAAGACGTACACAATGCCAGCAAGAATCTGGTGGATGTGCCGCATGTGTGCCCGCTCCTGTGGGTTTAGAGCCGGGGGAAGCAAGTGCAGCCGACGAAGGACAGCATTTTTCACAAAACGACTGCAACCTTGCAAGCTGGCCTCTTCTTGTATGCTTTGTCCCAACGTCAATGTTGCCACTACGATTGTCGCCCTCTCTCTCTCTCTCTCTCTGACGCTTTGAGCAGCGAATCGAGACAGTCAGGCGACAGCGTGTACTCTCAGTACGACTTGAAAGGCAAAGAGATCCAAGTGGTTCACAATGGCCGGGACCGCTAGAATTGATCGATACATGTCCGATTGTCCCGAGAGAAAATACAGTAGAAAAGCGCTTGCTTCAGGTGCGGAGACGATCGATAAATTCACAGTGGAAATGCAGACTGCTGCGCGGGATGATTTATGTCTTGAGGAGAACAAACCAGTCGCTTCGGATGCAACTGATTATGTCGGTGACATCAAGCTTGTTCCCCTTCTGCATGTGTCCATCACTCCCTCACTCCCTTGTGGGGATCTGGAGCCAGCCTTGGCAGTTGGACATGTAAAACGAACATAAGCCAAGCAGCGCATGGGCGGCGGCCGAGCTCAGGTGCTACTGTTCTCAGGTCGATTGCTTCCGCAGAAGGGGCCGGACGTACTGCTCGAGGCGAGTCGTTTCGAGTGTTTTCGCTGAGCAACTTTGAACTGCACTTGGGACCGCGCTGCAGGCTGTCCCTTTCGTCTTGCGGCACTGGCGCGATGCGCACTTCATCATTGCAGGTACGGCCTCTGCATCAGCTTGAACGGAGTTGGTCTGGTTGTGGAGCCCACGCACAATCGTCGTTAGGCGTCGTCTGAAAAGGCAGCAAGCATGCACGTTCATTCGCAGCTGTCACATCACATCACACCACGGTGCAGGCAGTGGGCACCTGCGGGGCGGCCTGGAGCGCCGAGCGGCCGAGTTGAACGTGGAAGAGTCCGTGACCTTCGCGAAGGCGCGAGCAGGGCGCGAGGCTCTGAGGAGCTTTGGAGCTTTGGAGCCCAGGGCTCCCCGTGATGCTCTCGGCCCCTGTGAAGGCGCTGCAGCCGGGGACCGAAGAGCACCTGAGGTACATGGCTGCCTGTGATGCGGCCTCTCGGCTTCCCTTGCGCTGACCTGACCGTTTTCTGCTTTTGTGCAAGAATAATCCTTCCTGAGAAGAAGCTCAGGTGGTCATACCAGCACGGCAAGACTTCTATGGCGTGTCTGTCATTGAAAGCTGGGCAGCTGGCAGGCAGGGTGTAGCCCTGTCGGCGTGTTCATATGCAGTCTTGTTTGTGTGCAAGCTGTTGGGGTTTCACGCACTTCATTAGGCCTTGCGTGGATCTGCGACAGCTGCATATGTCACATAAGGTGCAGTGTGTAGATTCCCTTGCAGAGACAGGCCCGTTGTGGGCTGCTCCTGTGGCGAGCTTCCTCGGCTAGTACAGCCGAATGTCACTGGCTACCTCATCGACCAGGATAACCGTCGTGCGCAGGGTTGCTGTTGCTGGTCATGTCTCTACACTGTCCGACTATTTGCTGCCTCATGTCATGTGACATGTGAGCTGGGTTCAAATTTCCAGACGCATAGCCGCATGGCCGCTTCAACGAAGGAGTCAGGCAGCATTGCCTGGGGCCTCTGCAAGATTTGTGAGAACCTGCAGCATGCTCGCCACCTGGCCGGACAGACGTCGGTTTGGGAAACTTTGCTCGGAGTCAGAGCCCAGGTTGGATGGGCGAGCAGGGGCAGCAGCAAGTGCAGCAGCATTTCCTTTGGGACTTCCTGGCGAAACGCACAGAGGAGGTCTACCTTAGCCTGCTCGGCCTCGAGGAGCATCCATCCTCACCAGAGTTTGCAGCATCTCAAGGTCAGATCGAAGACCCCTAAATCCCCCGAAACCGAAACCCTAGAACTCCGAAACCCCTACGTCCCATATATATATATATATTAATATTATATTATATTCTATTATAGTATATACATATTACATATATATATATATATATATATCCATATATATATATATAGATGTACAAACACACATATATATATACACATATAGATGTACATACAGATAATTTATGTATATACATATACACATACTTTACCCCTTTCCTAGGGGAGCCAAGATCCCCTTAAAGCCACCCAGGAGGCGCCGGCTGCGGAAGTCGCCAAAATCGGGCGGAGCCCGAAGCCTCCCTTGGCGGCCTCCCTGGGCCACGGGGCGACCGCGCTTTTGAAGCTGGGCCGCCGCTTCGCTGAGCTTTGGAGGTTGAGGGAAGTTTAGGGTTTAGGATGGTTTAGGGATGGTTTAGGGATGGTTTGGGAAGTTTAGGATTTAGGACTTTGGAAGTTAAGGGAAGTTTAGGGTTTAGGATCTTAGCCTCCAACACATCCCAACTTGGGAGTTTCTTCATCTCTGCGTGCTTGTGTGAGCGTGGAGTGACAAGGGGTTTGTTCGGGCTCGTGTTGCCTTTGAAGATGTGCTACAGGTTGAACAGCTTGAGAAGGCGCAGGAGGCTTTTGTCAGCCATAGGCATTGCGATTGGCGGAATCGCACACGTGCTTTGCAAGACACGTCTTGACATGAAGTAAAGTAGTGGAGCGAAGGCTCCTAACTCTTGGAAGTGTCCGAGGCTTGCTATTCCTGGGTTTTGGAGGCGATGCCACTCTGACCTGTCTGGGAAGCGACTTTGGCTGGATTGGTGCCTTGGCTGTCTCTGTGGATCCTGAAGATGATGCTTGGGACCCGCAGTTGTCGATGTTCTGACACAGCTTGCCATTCTCTCAGGCAAGATCGACTTTCCCAGAAAGAGCAATGAGTTCAGCGATGAGCATGCTCGCTTCCCTGTAGAGGTCGCTTCCGCCGTGAGCTCGGCCATTTTTTTTGGAGTTCCGTGTAGATTTGTACGGCGAAGCCTGCTGTCTGCAGACCTGAGGACGCCAAGTGTCACTACAAGAACTTGGCTATGTTCCAGATGTGCCTGCTTCGAACAGAGCGGAGTCTGCAGTGGTTGGCGGATCCCAAGCCTGAGGTGATCTACAAGGCTCTCGAACCAAAAACAGACGGTGACATAGTCGTGTTTCCACCGACTGTCAGGACGAAAAGAAGCAGGTGCTGGTCTTCACGCGTGGAGTGGGGAGCATCTTTGCCCTGAACTTCAACACCAGCGATTCGAACTTTAACTTCGACATCCGGCAGCTGAAAGGCGTGCAGATTCACGTAGTCAGCGCTCCTTCTAGCAGTAGCCTCGTTACGAGTCCGAGGTGTGTCATGTGCCTTCAAGACGGCGGGGCAGCCCAGTCCCAGTGCAAGTTGCAGATACCTCAGAGCCGAGCTCCTTCCGTCCTTCCGTGGTGAGGTCTTCAACACGCAGGACAAGCGCTTCGGGGGCCCCGGCTCGGGCACATCGGTCACAGTGCCGGCGGAGGCTTCAGTCACGGAAGGGACGATGAAGCTGCTTTTACCGGCCGCTCGGAGCAAACAGCACGGCCTCAAACAGTAGCCTAAATCGGCTTCGGAACCTCTTCTTGCAAAGGCTCAGACCGGCGTTGTGCTCGTGCCGGCTCTCTGCGCAGAGGGCTTGTCTTCGGAGATTTGGCTGCAAGGGATGAATTTTCGCTCGCCTCTTTTTGATGCTGCAGGAATCTCGCTGTCGTAAGTGCAAGGACAAGACGCTTCAGCTGCAGTCATCAGATGCCTTCGTCGACCTGCTTGCAGATGCATCTTGTCTGCACTGTGACCGACCGTGCGCTTAGTCCTTTGTGCTTTCTTCTCCAAACTGCCAGAGAACCACGACCGAGCTGTTAGTTACGCTCAGCTCAGGATCAGTCTGCAGTTTGCCCGATCAGCGTTTGCAAGCAGCTTTCATTTGCCACTCGGACTTTCGGCATCCTCGAGTCCTATCCATGAAAAAGAGGGCTTGGAGAGCATGTGATAGTTTGAAAGCTCCAGGCAGACCTCGCAGCCGATTTCAACCAGCGGCGCAAGCAGGAAGGCACTACGACTGCCTGCGAAGCAGCTGCAAAAAGCGAGGCTGCTGAGCAACTTGAGCAGGAAGCAGCCAAAAATGAGGCCGCACGTAGAGAGGCGGCAGAAAGAGAGGCTGCTGAACAACTCAAGCAAGAAGCCGCTAAGAAAGAGGCCGCGCGCAAAGCGGCTGCAGAAAGGCAGGCTGCCCTACAACGCAAGCAAGAGGCCGTCAGAAAAGAGGCCGCCCGCAGAGAGGCTGCAGAACGCGAGGCTGAACAGGAAGCCGCCAAGAAAGAGGCCGCCCGCAGAGAGGCTGCAGAACGCGAGGCTGAACAGGAAGCCGCCAAGAAAGAGGCCGCCCGCAGAGAGGCTGCAGAACGCGAGGCTGAACAGGAAGCCGCCAAGAAAGAGGCCGCCCGCAGAGAGGCTGCAGAACGCGAGGCTGAACAGGAAGCCGCCAAGAAAGAGGCCGCCCGCAGAGAGGCTGCTGAACGAGAGGCTGAACAACTTAAGCAGGAAGCCGCCAAAAACGAGGCCGCCCGCAGAGAGACTGCTGAACCGGCTAACGAGGAGGAAGCAAGGAAAGAGGCTGCCCGCAAAGCAGCTGCGGAAAGAGAGGCTGCTGAACGACAAGCCTTCAAAGATGCTGTGAAGAGGGCCAACGAGAAGCAATCTGGGGATGAGGTGAGCAACATGTCCAGAGTCTTGTCAATAGGGGCCGAATGCCGACATACTTGACACATGCCAAGCTATGCAGGACGAAAGCCTTTCTCCTGAATCTCCGGAAAAGTGCAAAGGGCCAGAGCTTCGAGTAAGTCAAAGCCACGGAGAGGATGCTGAGCATTCAACAAGTTTTGAGACTCCGTAGGCGGAACTCAGAATGTACAGTACCCGGTGCCCAAGGAAAAGCCATCAGGTACTGTGGCAGGGAGGAACACCAACAACGAAGTCGGCACGGGTGAGAAGGACCATCATGAGTTGCTTCTGGGTGGTCAAGTGCAAGATCGTCATGGTTCAGAACAGCATCGGGGTGTCGCGGTGCCGCATTCAGGAAGCTGCACCATGAGGTAAGGCAGCCACGAACTGAAACAGCTTTGACACGTTGCTAAAGGCTGCACTGACTAAGCGCAGGAGGAAGAGTCCTCCCCTGGCAAGCGATGGCTCGCCAAATACTGGATGTGAAGCGGGACACTTCTCTGACCAGTACAGGCCAAAGAAGCCAAGTGAGCTAATGTTTTCTACGTGGAGTTCTCCACTTCATGGACCCGGCTAAGCGAAACTTTTGAATTCTCGCTGCACAGCCTTAGCCTTGTGGCAAGGACGTTGAAGCCGAGTCATGACTACAGCCGCAAAAGCTTGCCCACCTCTGCAAGGGAGTGCAGCTTCTGGTTATGCACTCCGAGCGACTTGTAGAGACCAACTCTTTGTCTGAAGCTGCCTAGCCAGCTCTGCCATCACACAACCCAGTTGTGCCTGTGGAGCTAAAGCTTTCAAGTCTGTGAAGTGCATGGAGGCCTGTTCACGGCTGGCGCCGGCCTCGGATCCTCGCATACGCTGAATACACCTTCACAGGACTTGTGCCACCCGCAGCCATGGAAGCCCTGAGACCCTGTGCCTTGTGGAGGAGCCCGGACGAAGAGAGGAAGCCTTTTGCGACCCGGCAGCAGAGGCTTCCGCACCGACGATGCCATTGAGACCTGCTCATTCCCAGGTTCGAAAATGGTCTGCGAGTTGATGGGTGGGTCGCAGATCACAGGTGGAGCCCTGTGCAAGTCTGGTCTCCGAGGTGAGAAGTTTGTGTAAGGCTCGAGGATGATCGATTCGTGGCTGTACAGGTGGCTCACACCCACAGATCTTCCCCTCAGCCGCTGGGTCGACAGGGCTTTGTGTGCCGAGGCCGGTATGGGAAAGGCTACCAGTACTGTAAAGTTTGTTCAGTACACGACTTCATGTGCATTCCTAGTAACAGTGATTCGGCGCGCACGGGGATGGTACAGCTTGAGGCACAGCTTCTTACCTCCCTCTGTCAGCAGCGGGAGCTGGTGAACTTGACCGGCGAGGCATGCCAGTGAGTTGGAAATGCCGCTCTCTTTCGTACTTCTGAATGCTTCCTGCCAGGTCGAACTGTACACGTCTTCCCCTCCTTGCCTGTCGCCAACACCCGAGATGCACCATCCACTAGTCAAAACAAAAATTCGTTGTGTTTTTTCGAGATGCTAGCACGATCGTGTCGAGATGCTCCAAGGTGCCTGGGCCTCTTCTTCCAGTTCAGGGGGGTGTTTCCCCATGCGACGCTGCGTTTCTCCTGCGGCTTGGTGCGTGCTTGGGAGGCGCTCATGGCTCAGACCCAGAACTCTCGCAACAACCCTGAACCCCACGAGCTTTCGACGAAGTGCAGCCCTGCACATGGAAGGCGTGGGTGCCGCTGTGAGGCTCCAACCGTGTTCAACCCGAGATTTTGCAGTTTACCTCGAAATGAGCAAACTATTCGCATCTTCTGATCATTAACACGTAAATGTCAGAGCACATGTTTCCAAGATGTTCCAAGACGGTCTAAGCGCGTTGCATTCCAATCCCCGACGACCAAACAAGTCTCACTGGCTCCTTAGATCTTCTGTGGCCGATGTGAAGGACAAAGGATCCGTGCTCTGGAGGTGTTAAAGGTCGCTGTGTGTGAGCGTCAGGCGCATGCTTCGGTAAGATCTCAGTAGCACTGCGCTTGGCCAGTTTGCAAGTGTGTGTTGAACGTATTCCAGCCTCACGTCAAGACTAATCATTGGCTAATCATCATGATGCATGCAACACACCACACCGACGCGACAAAGAGCGTAAGGCACATTCAGCAGAAAACACAAGTAAGCTCTCACACCCTCGGCGTGTCTCGGATCCATCATGCTTCCAGCTTTGGAGGCTTCCGCTGTCGTGTGGTAAAGCCACAGTGCCCTCACGGCCAGCATTGCATTGCTTCGCAGGCTGCACCATGTGCTCAGCGTTTGAACCCTTCTGGGCATTGTGTATGTCAAGGTCCGGCATGCTGAGACTCGTGCTTGTGGATTCAGACTGTGATCAGAGCAAGCAGAGAGCATCCAAATGAGCTTATGCAGCGTCAGCCTCGCGAGGAGCTTCTCCGGCTTCCGCCAGCAGGCCCCCACCGAGGCACTGCTCCAGATCTGGTGCCGATGCCGTCGCCAGTTTCCGCCAGCATCCGCCAGCCGCCACAGGCCTCGTGGAAAAGTCCCCGTGCTGGCTGCAGCTGTGGGCTGCGCCCTGGGGCAAGTGTCAAGGCAGGAGGCTGAACGCTGCCCTGTGATCTGCGCCTCGAGCAGAGGTCATGTCAGAGTATAAAGGCCATATAAGGCAAGCTCAAAACCAGGCATACTTCGCGGACTCGGCATCTTCGACGGGTGCTGCAGCCATTCGCGATCGAGCCGATTAATCCCTTCATGGCAGAGATGAAGGCAGCTCCACATTGAGTTGGCTTTATCGGCTCTTGCGACTGCAGGTAAACAACTGAATGCACGCTCGCCCACTCACTCCCTGACTCACTCACTCTCACTCGCTCCTTTGCTCATTCACTTACTCACCCACTCACCCTGTATTAGATATCAATGTACATATATATATATATATATTTATGTATGTATGTATGTATGCATGCATGCATGCATGTATGTATGTATGTATGTATGTATATGTGTATACACAGTTGTATGCAAATATGGACATGCTCAAGCGACAGCTCATCAGTCGGTTTGTGGTCGAAGGCCAATGTCAAAGGTCTGGCTGAGAACGGCCTTGGCATTTTGGATGCCTGGGCCCTTCCTGCTTTTTGCAGCGTTTAGGGTTTAGGGCTTCAGGTGTAGGGCATGTTGAAAAGGATTTTACAAGGTGTCAGGATTTCCGGAAGCCGCTGTGGACTGCCACGTGTGATTGCGAGGTGTTGCAGGGGTATGCAAGCAGAGCGGTGCAGTCTCGTCTGCCCTTTCAGGCTGAAGGGGCCGGACGAGAGCTCATGTCCTGCCTCTGCCTCAGTGTCAGGCCTTTGCCACGGGAGTTCGTGAGTTCTGCATGTTTAGAGGCTTGGAGGCAGCTGGGATGGAGCCCAACGAGGCAGAGACAGATTTGGGAAACAGGAACGGCCACAGAAAGCGTGCGTCAGGAGAGCAGACAGAGGTGGCGAGAGTTCTGCTATACAAATGGCTTGCAGCCGTGCGCTTGCTAAGTGCCCGCTTTGGCCCTTTGCAGTGTGCCTAAGCTGGAGAGGTACTGCTCCGCTGTTATTATGGAAGAGGAAGCCCTCAAGTATACTGACAAGGATTCGAGGCTGGGCACCCGTGCCCACAGAGCCTTGCTGTTTGTCCTTCCCGGACAGGTCGCTTCCACAGATTCTCTCAGACCAGGGCGCAGCATGCTCAGGTAGCAGAATGCTTGAAACAAATCCTAAGCGAAGAAGCACTGAGGTCGTTCCGGCGGCCAGCCCTGCATGTTTCTAGGCCCAGAGCTCACCGAAATATGGCTCCAGAGATGTACGTTTTGTGACGGCTCGTGTCTCGGCCCTGGTTCCACTACACGGGGTGCGAAGTCCGACCCGTTCGCCTCCATTCCCACTCCCTGCTCTGCTAAGACTTGCGCGCACTGCATCCGGGCAACTTGAATAGTTTTTATAAGGAAGATGCCGCACTCAACGTCTTTTTCAATGCAGCTGTCTACAGTCTACAGTCAGTGATTGGAAGACATGCATAGGCCCCGACAGGTAGTCAGGGAGAGGGTACCCTGCACCGCCTGTTCAGCTTTGATGTCCACTCCCGAGCAGGACCGTGGGTTCCACCGACGAAAATCTTGCAACGTTCGCATGGCTTGTTGTTGTCAATATTCAAGAAGCGGTGATGGGCAATGTCATAAATCAGCGGTTGGGTGGCGCAAGATTTCATCACTCCCCCCATAGTTCCAGATGAATAACACCTGGTGCCACCCCTATCCAGTTCCGGACTGAAGTTTGTCGCCCAAAAGCAGGCACAAGCAGCAACTACTACACCTTTCGCCGTCAAGACCACGGTATATGAAACATGCCAGCCTGAGGTTCGTTGAGTAGCCGTCTCCAGTCCGAAGGGACATTTTCCTTTCTTGCCATGAGAAGGTCACCCGATCCTGTGCAGATAGCGGCTTCGCGAATGTGTGAATCATTGTATGAGGCAACAGTCAACATGACGTAGTCGCGCAGTTTCCATGAAGCAGCATCTCACGCTGGGACCATTCTCTTGCAAGCCTTGAGTAATTATCTTGAAATGCCAGATGCGAGTCGATCAGGGATTCGTGCCGCAAAGAGCTTAGCCATATTTTGCGATCGAGACTGGCAGTAGAGAGTGATCAGACACTGACCGTTGCTTTCCGCATCCTCAACGAGGTTGAACAGCTTTGGAGAGAAGGGCACCGAAGGGATCGTCCTGGCCTCGACCGGTCTTGCATGGCGCGCTTAAGTCATCAAGCCGTTTGGTTTTGGATGCTACAGGTGCTTCTGAAAGAACGTTGCGAGGCGGCCCGTTTCGTGCTTTCTGACTGGCTTATACAGTCTCCTGCCTAATTGCCGGGACAGGACTACTACAAATCAGGAGTCCGCATTGCGAAGTGGCGCACGCAACTGGAGGCCACTGTGTGATGGTACCAAAGTTGTTACAGAGCGTTCAACTAAAATGGCTCGAAGTGGCCACTGAGCTCTGCCAGTGCAACCTCGAGATGCCGACGGACGTGGCAGTCTGGGAGAACTCGGACTGCATTGCTCGTGCAGCACGCATCTGTCAGGCGCTGCGTAGAGGGGGCGAGGGTTAAACTTACCTTTGTGCAAGATGCCCATGGCAGGCTAATGGCTTGGCGTTCATCGCCGAGATTCAGACATCGCAGAACACAGGGTAAGTCGGCCTTACACTGCTGAGCCTGAAGTCCCGATGCCGTCGGCCTCCCTGCAGGAGCCACTCGATAGAGAGAACGGCCTATGTCTGTGAAAAGGCAAGGGTGTATGATTCGTCACAAGTCTACGATGCGAGGACGTTTGGCATGTTTGGATGTTACGATTGTTCACACTCGGAGCTACTCAAGAAAGGCAGCGAACATGCGAACCTTGCACTCTCTGCCCGAGATTCTGAGTGTTTCCAGGCTAAGCACAAAAGGGGCAGGTTCCCTTCGTCTTGGGTATCGAGTACTGCACCCACGACGTCTTTCTTAGCATTCGATTCAACCCTCTTGTGCCTGCCTCCCTGCGCCGTGACGATGATGCGATTGGGTCCGGCGCTGCGGAGCACAATGCAAATGCAGAGATGGATCTACCAGGCAAAGAGGCAAAAGCAGGTATGTTGTCAAGAGCCAAATCAAGCTTGCGTCAGAGGTCTCCGGAAGAAGTGCCGCTACCACGCGCTTTAGCTCGCACCGCTGGACTCAGTCAGCTGCTGGGGCTCCGCCGGAAATGCCCGAGAACCTCCGAAAAATCATGGACGAGTATGTGCCTTGGCTTTGCCTGCCCCGCCTGCGCTCACGTACGCAGTCGCAGTGCGCGGAAGTCGTTCACAACGCCTCGCCGAGGAGCGGCGACGAGCCGAAGAAGATGCCAAGCAGTCTGGTGTCTGGGGGATCCTGAACTCGAGCACTGGGGCCTTGATGGGTGCCACCTGTGCGGGTGGCATCCTTTGGCTGCAGCTCTTTCAGAACAAAAACACTCCTATTGTTCCTATGAAGTGCTTTGCCGCTCGCTTATCGTCGATCTGAGCGTTCGAAGCTGCAGCGAGGTTTTACTGCCTCGATGATGTGTCCAGCCCCCCGCATGGATTGTGGGCGATTCTCTTCAGAGTCTTGCCTTCAGGCTCTTGCTTCCATAAAATGTGCTGCCTAACGGCTGACGGTTTCTTTCTGCTTCTTTGCCTGTCGAAGTGAGTCGAAGTCTGAGGAAAGCTTGGAGAGGAACGGGCAAGTCGAGCTCTGGTGAAAGCGGCATCCTGGAGATTACTGCCCAGGGACCTGGACAAGGCACCCAGTTCCTTTACACCATTGAATCACTGCCCGATATTAGTGATTAGTTTAATGATTAATGGCTTTTGACGTACTTGTCCATCTAGGCTTCTCATGATGGCCAAGCTCTAGCAGAGGGACTCTGATGTTAGAGGGGGACCTTTCATGCACCGCAGGACGACCCCTACTTGGTAGTTGAGCCGCACGAGGGCCTGAAGTTCTACACACCCGTGGGCCTTGGTCCTGGCATAGACACTCTGGCGGAGGGCGTATCTGCCTTCCTTGACTTGGGCTTCGGATTTGTGGAGGCGAGAACCGTAGACTGGCAACGTTTTTTCCACAAAGTTTGGTTGCACATTGTGATCTGACCAGGTCGGTCCAGTAGGTGCTGGCGGAGCGAAACCAGAGACGGTGCTGCGAAACCTTGAACATCGAGACGCCAGTCAACAGATTGCTCAGTTTGGATTGGTGGGTGCTTCCGCGGGAGGCAGCCAGGAGGACCCTTGCTTCAGAAGTTCCAAAAGGGAGTGCCTAGCTTGGTGTGCGCTGTTCAGGAGCTGCTGTCAATTCTGTCTTCATTGGGTCCCAAGCTCCAGCTCTTCGTCGTGGACCTGGCATCTTTACCCGCAGGGCAGAGAGGCGAGGTGGCGAAGATCGCGAAAGAGCTGGTGCTCAAAGCGATGCAGCTGCCAGGGGGTGGGCCCCGCATCTTTCTGAGGTTCCACTAGCATCCGATGCCAAGCATGAGAAGCAACTCTGTTGTGACACGGCACACAGGCTTCCTGCGAGCTGGCCAGATGCCTCCGCAAGCCCAGAGGCACATCGTGGACAGGAGTTTTTGCAGCTCCGCAAACTGCCTTCTTGGGAGGAGCAGCGCCGTGCAGCCGGCGAAGTTGCCCAAGCGGCACGGCGCAGTGAAGCCGCGGGGATCATCGTCTGCAGGGTGCCAAGCGCGAAACATGCAGACAAGCGGCCAAAGCAGCTAGTCTTCTTGGGCTCCTGTCGTTCTTCCGTGGGCGTGCAGGAGGCTCGCAGGAATACACAGCAAATCAGCCGCATCCAATTTATCGAATGACTACGTGACTCGCACCCTCCAAGTCCAGCAAGACTCTTCGCGAAACGACTGTAGTCCGAAGTCCTCACGCAGCGCTTTAGATGATGGCGATAGGGGCAAACCCGTCTCTCGTGCTGTGCCATGCTGCTGGGTCTGGTGCGATCTGCACGACATCAGGGTCTTTTGGGACAGCTACGCCAGCGAAACATCAGGTTCCTGGTCTGCCGCACCAGCAGGTTGTGGTTTGCTTCGCACGTTTCGTGGCAGAATCAATCTGATCAGGACCGCGAGAGCTTACTTGCCTTGCCTTGCATTGGCTACACTGGCCGCTGCTCCTTTGGCTTTGTCTTCTCTGGCTTTCTCCGGCGAGAAGCCCGGTGTGCGACTTGGAGCAAGCAGCATCTTCTTCATTTTGTGAGCACTGGAGACTCGAGCTGGTACATGTCCACAGTGTCGGAGGAAGCGGGCTCGAGGCGGCCAGCTGCGGTGCTTGGCCTGTGACGAAGGCGTGAAAGAGTGGTTTATACATAAAGGGGCCCAAACCATCGCCTTTAGTGGGAGCCTCGACACAGGCCAGGCATCTCTGGGCAGCTTACGTATCAACTTCTGCGGCCGCCCTCCAACAGGCGTGCTCTTCTGCGCACAAGCGCCGACAGTTCCCGCACCCTTTCTTTTGTCAGGCCGGCTGATTCACTGCTTCTGAGGCTACACACCAGTCTTCTACGATGATCCCGGCACGAACACCGCGTCTGTAAATGCTGGTGACTACAATTTGCCTCTTGGAGGCGAAGTGGGGTTCTTGGAAAATACGGGACCCTAATATAGTACCCTAAATAGTAGGATCCTTATTATAAGGACCCCAAAATAAACTACCCCCAATTTTCCGAAATCATTCGATCAAGCATTTGAGTTCGTGAGCATCTGCTGCTAGAGTCTGCGAGGTATGTGGGTGGTGGCGCTATCAACCTTGCCTTCTTAAAGGAGCTGGGTCTTCCCCGATCAAACAAGTACTTAGACTTGCACAAGGCGGAATAGAGGGCACCTTCAGACCCTGATGTACCCAGTTTAGAGCAGAAGGGCTTGGGCTTTTTGGGCTCGGCAGGCGATGTTGAAGGCCGCTTCCAGCACACCTGGCCAGCTGGTTGCCAGCTCAGCGTTGCCAGGGACGGAAGTTGACGCTCGTCTGGCTTTCGCTTAATCTAGTACTTACTAGCCTCGGAATTCTTGCGCTGAAAGGGGATGGAACTTTGCCTGGGTAGTACCCTCATCAGAACTCTCACAACAAGCCTGAACACACCCGGAACCCTAAACTGCGCATTGAAGAAGACACCTCTGTCAGTGAAGCCTGCTTCGCGCCCAGGACGCTTTTCTATCCGAGCTGGGCCTGATGGCGTCCTTCGCTTCTTGGTGCATACATGCGGGATGTTAAGGGTTATTCTTGAGGGTTATCCTAACGGACATTATGAGAGTTGCCGTGAGGGATACTGCAAGGGTTACTATCAGGGTTGCTGGAAGGTCTAGCTTTGGAGTGTGGGGGCCGTGCTGTCCTTGGCATCTAGGCTCGTGTGCCCGCTGTCAACGGCCCCGATGCTGTCGTTGGAGCAGCATTTCTGGATGTCTTGGGACCTGAGCATCGCCCGCGCAGTCCGAACCCTCAGAATCCTCATCGTGCTGTGAAGTGTCACGCCAGTTCTACACCAAGATTGGGTTTCGAGGCATAAAGAACGTGGCGATGCTGTATGTGGTGGGTCCGAAAGGTGGGTCCGAGCTTTCTGTCAGTTCTCGCCTTGCCATTTCGAGTTGCTATGGAGGCACAGGAGCTACAGGGGGACAAGGCCCCACCGTGGACTCCAATGCGGCATTCCTGCAGAGCGTTGAGGAGATGGCTGCCAACGCACTGTTGGCGGTGGCAGAATACAATTCACTGCTCGACGAGGAGCTGGGCTTAAGGACACAGGCTGTATCCTTCGGAACGTCTGACAGTCCTCTGGAGGAGACGCTGCCCAGAATCCAAGAAGTTCAGTTCTGCCACCAGACTGTAGACCGGATCACGTCTCGTACGAGAACAGAACTGTTATTCTCCATGTTCGTCCGCTGTGTGACCGGGTATACAACAGCAAAGGTTTGGTGTCTGGTGGCGTGTACATGCACCCCGAGAGTTCCAAGCTCGATGTGGCGGCGGCCATTGTGAGAGGTCTACGACGGGCTGCCGAGACGAAAGCGGCTCCGACGGTGACTTTTGCGAAGTTTGATCCCGCACCTGACAGCCCGGCCTGGCATTGCGTTTCAGGTTAAGCCGGTGTCGCATGATGGTTCTACTGCCAAGGTGAGATTCGCCTACGATTCCAACTCATTTGAGGATGCAGTCGGAATCGAAGAGCCTGGCATCTTCAAGAGTTGAAAGTCCTCGCAAAGTGACGCTGGGCTTTCCTTCTTGACTTAGAAGCAGAGGCTCCTGGCTGAGAGAAGGCGAGAAGAAAAGATGCAAGAACAAGCAGCTGCAACCGGCACTCTGGGAAAAAGCCCGATGCAAGCAGCTGCAACCGGCAGCTATGCCTTCGCGCTCATGAGGTCATGATGATGCGGCCTATGGTTGCCAGGGCACGAAGGCCACAAGTCATGACGTGACATGAATTCTGTGCCAATCCAAATGTTCCAGGAGTCGCGCCGACTCCAGCGTGACCTGATTTCTGAAGCTTTCGAGAAAACCCAGGCCCACAGCTCAATAACTTGAGGTTCTGCAAGTGCTTACTGACGAGTTCACTCCGTACCTGGGCGGGCTCATAGTCGCCACAGCTGCTACTGGTAGTCTGCCATCAGGGAGACATCGCGATCATTGCCAGCGGCGGGCTGCGCAATGCCAGGGATGCTCTCGATGCGGCGCCTTGGCTGATCCGTCTCAGCCCGACGCGTCTCCTGCATCTTGAGCTGTACTGGTACCGCCGAACTCCATGCTACACCCTATGCGAAAACTGCGTCGGAACCCGCGACATTGATGATTCGCAGACGAACAGACGATACAGAAGCCGGAAGAAGCAACGGGGTGCAGACCACGGACCGACAAGGTCAGGGCATTTGGGTTCGAGAGCAAGTTCGCAACAGCTAAAGCACAACTACCGCCACCGCCACGACCACTGAGTGACCACTTCGACAAGCATGACTGGATATTCTCATGAAACATCAGGCCGAACGGTTCGGCCCTTTGGGTTTTTTGGGTCTAGGTTTTGACATGTCAGACTGTTTTCCCGCACCCTTTCGTTTTCGTGAAATCCTACATCTTAAAACTTGTTCTGCTAGTAGAAGGCCGATGGAAGCGGTCATGTTCTGATTCCGCATCTGCTCGCCCCGAGTCGTCGCCGACTCCTACCGACATTGAATCGGCACTTGCTGCAGAACATATGAGCCATCTGCGAGTCTGCAAGCAAGGTGGAAGCTGGCGCAACGGCAGCTCTTCCGCACAGAGCTGCCTGATTCGTGTGGCCAGTCCAGCGACTCATGCTGCTATAGAGCGATTCTTCTCGGGAGGTGGTACAGATCTCCACACTTCTTCTTGAGGAAGGCCTCCAGAAGACTGTACTCTGTACACTGTACGCTCTTTCTGCACCTTCGCTTCCACATCCACTATGCGATCGGAGCCAGGCCCTGTCGCATGCCGCCAAATGAAGGATGGAATGGCGCAGCTTCTAATGCAGGAGGCAGATCGCCGGGTTTTTGGAGGGGGCCAGTTTCCGATTGTGTTTCCAGCTGAGCGAGGTGCTGCGACTCTTAGAAGTGTATCGCGAGTATCGTTTAAAGTTGCGTGGGCTTGGGGGATCGTGTGCTTCCGAACATTTCGATTGCATTGTCCGTCGCGTGACGACGTACTCCACGGAAAGACAATCCACGCTTTGAAGCAGAGCAGAGCTTGATGTCCGCAGTGCTTACAAGTTCTGTTCGGTGCCGTTGGCTGCTTTTGCGCGATTGAGTTGCTCCTTCCACAAATACCTCGTGCCACTGCAAGTCCTGATTCAGAACGGACTGCATGTCCGCATGAATCATTATCGCTGTTGCTTGTTTCGGGGGCAGTTGATTCAGTGCAGTTGACGGTGCTGCGGGGTAGTTTTACAGAGGCAGCCACAACATGGAGGAACGGCAGCAGCCTGCAGCTGCCGATTCATGAGCAGCATGTGAAACCAATGGGAGGAGGGAGGTAGGATAGGAGGAGGAGGAGATCGAGGATACAGTGGCAGATGCAATCAGATGCAGAAGCAGCCACCCGGCGTTGGTGGTATTGTCGTGTGTCGGCGTCAAGCGCCGCCTTCCGCTCAGGATGGCACCGTCTTTCTTGTTTGCGAATGTTTAGAGTTGTGAGGAGCATCTTGCTGCTTTTACACACCCTGCAGGGCCATTTGAACTTGAAGTCTGTGGTGGGCTCTGCGGTTCTGCGAAGAACGGGCTTTTCAGCAGCAATAGGGTTCGGCTTTCTCTACAGCCTCCAAATTCTTTTAAGCAGCAAAAGCCGAGGAAAGACCAAGCAAAAGAAGAGGCCCCTCTTTACTGAATGAGTGCTTGCTTAGTCGGTTCGCAGATTCGAACGCTTCAGACGTTTCTTGCACTGTGCAGGAATCCTTGGAAGCCAAAAAGCACGTGATGGAGGACATCCCGATCTCCACGTGGAAGATCGCTTGGGCCAGAGACGAGCAGCCCCAGTAGAGACCGCAAAGTTGACGTGCTCTACATCGGAAGGAAGAGCCCAGAAAGAAGAAAATGATAGGGCGTAGGGGCTGCTGTGCTCTTCTGGCCTTTGTATGTGTGTGTGTGTGTGTGCGCAGCGCGTTGCTTCATTGTCGCAGTCCACCACGTGGGAAAAAGACCTTTCAAAAGACTCCGTGTCAGTCCACACCGCTCTTACCTTAACTTTTCCGGCCAGTTCTATAGCAACGTCGTGCGCAGCATGAACGAGTATGCTGCAATCTCAGAACGGTGTGTTTCTTGAGCTAGCTTCGAAGGTGGCAGTGTGTAGGACAGCTACATGTGAGCCAGGATGTTAACTTGGAAGCGGTTGCTTTCACGATTGACACCTGCGCGGCAGGCACGTCGAGCTAGGAGGCATTATGGAATGGTGCACGGTTCACTGATGCATCAGCCACTCTAGACTCTAGACTCTAGACCATCGTTCCACGGGCATGTTTAGAGTTAGAGGTCTCGGATATGATGCAGCGCAAACTCAATCACTCACGCTTAAACGGGCGGCCTGTTGGAGGGGCTGCGATGATTTCAATCCACCGATGGTGCTAAGCACAGAAAAGCTTTCTTGAGCGTCTATGGGAAGAGCAGCCTTCACGGCCCGACACCACGCTGCCCTGCAAAGGGTTTCGCTTCGGATCAGAGGTTCATGCAAGCTGCGAGCTAAGCAACTCGAAAGGATGTCGATGTGTTTCTCTGCCGGTTAGATTAACTGCGGCATCTTCCGCGAACATCGCAACTGCTTGAAGCCAGAAAGCTTCGAACGGCAGAAACCCAACCCACTCCATCAGCTTGCCCCTGGGCCTCTGCTTTGGTATTTCGCTATCACACAGACAGGCTCCCGGCGTACACGAAATTGGGAGGTGGGCTGAGGACCCTGGAACTTCCAACTGAGGAACAAAAATACCACACTTGGCGGTGAAGAGATAAGATGAGAGGACTTGGCAGGTCTTGTTGTCGTTGCACTCTGACTAGTTTGCAGTTCTGCTTCGAAGAAGCCAAAATAGAGAGCTTGAGCTTCCGTTCAGATCCCTGTTGCAGGCCCGGATGCCATGGTCCCGTTGAGTGACCAAGTGGCCAGATATACGGCGGCTCGGCTCGGCCGTGTCAGGTTTCGAGTCCGTTTGACAAGGAGCCCCCCACCAGAGTCCAAGTCCCAAAGCTTTCCTTGAGACTCAGGTCCGCACACTGATGCGGCATGTGCCTGAGATGGGATCCCGGGTTCTCACCAGTCTGAAATTTGAGATTTGGCCGTGTCGAGGACGCTGCCTCCAGCAACCGGAGCGGTGCTGCTTCTGGCTGGGGAGGTGGCCCCTGAGGAGGCGCCCAGTCGGAGTCACCCGAGTGGCTGTCTCATGATGTCTCATGCTTCTTTGCTCCTGCAAGTCACCCAGGCTGTCCGCAATGCGAAAGCCGTGGCATTCTTAGCAGCAGTCACGACGAAGAACTGCGAACGCGCATAGATTGCAGTTGTGGGTTTTCTGCGACTATCCGATTCTCGTGAGAGGCATGAGTGCAGGTGCGCGTCACTCCGCGACAGGGCCAATTAGATTCTAAGGTGCAAGACGAGGCTGCAGACATGACATGGGAAGTGGCACCTGTGTGCGCCTCCATCACTCCGAAAATGTTAGTCAGTGGCTGTCTTCTCGGCAAGTTGCGAAAAGGTACGGCACAGGGCTTCTGAAGCCGGTGATCAGTGCGTGGGCCAGTGGTGAGGAAGGACTGCGGACTGGGATGGGAAAGGTTTGCAGAAACGACAGCTAGTGGCATGGACACATTCGGGTGCTTGCTGAGACACAGCTCGAGAACTGCTGCAACGAACACCCGCCCTGTTTGATTTGTTCCGAGCTTTTTACGCTTGCAGGCCTGTCCTGATTGGTATCGCAATGCCTCGACTGCTTCCGGGATGCTGTCATGCGGGAATGATTGTGCGGCATGTCTTGGCTCAGAAGATGCTCGCTGAAGTGTAGCGAGGTTGGGGCCGGCGGGCTTCTACCATCTATGAGCCACAATTATGCAGACCTCCATCCCATGTGGGTGGTGAAGCTGACGGACATTCTAAAAATGCCAGAGGGGCCTCCTCCAGTCCACGAGGAGTTGCAGAAAGCTGGTGTGCTCGTGCTGCATGAGCCCCATTTCTCTACGATTTTCGTGTCGCATCAGTGGCTGGGTGCAGCACATCCGGATTATGCTGGCAATCAGTTCCGTACATTCCGTATCTGTATGGAAAACATCCTGAGTGGTAGCCTGAAGCTTGCACCAGGAAGTGCTGACACAGGTGGAATAATGGGCGCCTGGCAGCACGGGCTGTCACCGTCAGAGGTCAGCAAGATGCGTGGCTCGTATGTTTGGTTCGACTGGTTTTCGATTCCGCAGCAGGGAGATACTTATGACTTCGCTTTGGCAGTGCAGTCAATACCTTCCTTCGTTGATGCTTGTGACTTTTTCGTTGCCTTGGTGCCGACAATTTCTCACTTTGACACGGGCTTGGATTGCAACTTCGTTTCCTGGATCGCAACCAGACCCCGGCTTGGCAACATGTTGCTCCTTTCCACTTAGGCCCTGTTTTTTGCAGGACTTCGGGGGCTTGTAAGAGCCCCTAAATCCCTAAACCCCAAAGGGGCTTCCAGGACAGAGGATGGTGCCGCGCCGAGATGTGGTGCAGGCTTCTCTGTGATCGACCCACCAGTCCTATTATTGTGATCTTGGATTACGACCACGCCATTTATGCGATGCCATCCCAGTGCTTGCAGTACCCGCCAAACACTGGAAAGTTCAGCGTGCCTGCAGATCGGATAGAGGTCAACAAGTTTATTCGAATTGCGCTCCGCAACAAGATTGGCCAACTTGAGATGAGGAACGCTGCTGTTGACACCTGCCGGTACTTCAAAGCCAGATTTGAAGACATTCTCGGCCTTCCACCTGCGAAGCGGAATCCCAGTTCTTTTTCTTCCCACTTCGGATTTGGCTCGCGAGAACAGGCTGTTGACGAGAACACTTTCTCCATGAGTGCTGTCGCATGTGCGGTGCTCTCCAAAGATGTGAAGATGCTGGGATGGCTGCTGCGTGCAGGATCTTCCTTCCAAAAGCGGCTTGATGCTATGACAGATGTTGGGATTTCTCCGGGCTGGACTCCTCTGCACCTTGCTGCCGAGCTTAGCTGCCAGGACCCCGCCCCTCTCGAACAGCTTCTGACAATGCGCGCAAACCCCAATACGACAGATGCAGCCGGCATCTCGGTCCTAGCAGCCTGCAGTTCTGGAGAGGCTGTAGAGATGCTGGTACATTTTCGAGCCGACGTGAACCTTCGTCGGTCTCCAAGCTTCAAGACGGCCTTGCAGGGCAGTTGTGCGCGCTTCAACGAGAGGGAGGCAGTTGCAGCATTGATCGAATGCAGAGCCCACGTCCACCGCGCAGAGCTTTGCTGTTTGGCCATGGCTGGAACCATGCGGCCCCATGCAGTGCAGCTTGCGCAGCTGCTGCTGTCGGCCAGGGCCGAGGTGAATGCAAGGCCACGGAGCTCCGGCAGAGAGAGGTTCACGGAGCTGGCCTGCAGAGCATGGGCCGTCGTGGGCGAGCCTCCTATAGCTTTAAGGTATCTGGCGGAGAGCAGCAGCACTCCACTGGGCCATGCATCTTTCTGGGGCAGTGCCAACCTAGCTGCCTTCCTGCTTGGAGCAAGGGCAGACCCTGGAGAACCCAATAATCGTGGATGCTTGCCAGCAGAGTGCTGCTTTGAAAGCCGTTTTGGTGTGATCAATCTGACAAGCATGAAGCAAACACAAGACTGTAGCTCAAGCTCGCAAAGGATTGTAGGAGATACCGTGGCTTAAGGATGCTTGAGCTCAATGCAGGATACAGGATCGCTTCTGCTGAACGTAAACAGGCAGCACCTGACAAAGACAGCCGATATCCTCCTCCTGCCCCCTCCCTTTGCTCTTCTCCTCGTCCTCATCGTGATCCTGATCGTCATCCTTCTTGTCATCGGAATCATCTACGTAGAACCCAGGTCAATCTAGGTCTTGAGGTCATCGTCGTCATCATGGTCCTCCTCCTTCTCCGCCTCCTCCTCGTCTGTCCAGCTTGGCAGAGTTCCAGCATGTCCTCAGAGAGGGGGAGAGGTACTTGTTTGAACGCTTGTATGTACTGGCAGGATGTAGTTGTATGTTCGGGGCATTCGGGG